TATTCACTTACACCAGCCTCTGCTGAGCACAGCCCGGGGGCAGTGGGGAAAGCCCCCAAGCCCCAGAGCAGGGACCATGCCAGCCAGCCGTGCTCCCTCCACCCACCCCCAAACCATCCCTATTTCAGGAAATACAGACCTGGACCATCTCTATTTCCCCCCAGTGGGAAGCAGCTGGACAACACAAGCTCTCTGTTCAAAAAGTGATTTCCTATGCGGTACTAGGGATGAAGCAGGTCAGACAACCGGGCTGCGGGGGGGTCAGTGTTATCAATAATCCTAGGTCGCCCCATCCCCATCCCCGAGTGCCCTTCGTGGGGCTGCAGCCCTAGAACCAGCTGAGTTGGTTGGATGTGTGTGGTGGCCGCACCCCCCGCCGTAGGGGGGGGGGCAGGCCGAGCACGGCCGCCCCACCTTGTACGGCGCTTCTCCCAGCCAGTTGCCCCTGCAGAGAGAGGGGGGCATCACCCCTGAGCGCTGGCAGCTCGCTGCCCACGCCGGGGGGGGAGCGGGGCTGGCAGGGTCAGCACTTACTTGATGGCGTAGTTGCAGACGAGGAGGACGGCGTGTCGCCACGTGCTGCCCCACACCCGCACGTTGGCACACGTGCTGAGGGCACAGCCCAGGCGGCTGGACGATGCCCACACCATCTGTGCCAGGACAGAGAACAGGAGCTGTCAGCGCCCGCCTGCACCCAGCACCCCGGGGCAGGGCTCCATCCCACCAGGGACTCATGTCCTGCCTGCCCGAATTTCTCAGGCTGGGTGCTGTGCCCGTCCCAGGCAGGGCTTTGTGACTGGGGTGATTTCTTGCTGTCTCTCTGCTGCCTGCAGCCCAGGCTGCCCTGCAAGGGGCTGCCTTGCCAAGCTCGCTTCAACGAGCAGCAGAGCCTGGGTCACTTCAGTGACTTACCCAGACTAGTTCCCAAACATCACCCTGAAGCACCACCGGGAGCTTACCCTGCACATGGGGGAGGAGGGGTGGGGAAACAGAACCCCAAGCTCCTCCTAAAGCCTCTCCAGGCTGAATTTCTCCCTTAAAAATGTATCATCGTGCTCATCTGCAGCTTGCAGCATCCCCATGGATGAGCCGCACGGGGGATGCCGATGCTCAGGTGAAGGCTGGAGGCAGAGGATGGAATTAGGACTTGCCACAGCTTTGCCACTGAGCAGGGGAGCAGAGGGAGGTTTTCCACCTTGTGCCAGCCAGGCTGGCAGTGGGTGTGCCAGAGGATGAAGCGGCTGCATCCCCAAGGAGTGGGACATGGCTTGGCACTATAAAACTGCTCCATCACAGAGGAGAGGATTTGTGCATGGCAAAAGCACAAAGGGACCAGCCCTGCTGCCTGATTTCATAGAACCATGAAAGGTTCCATTTAGGTTGGAAAAGACCTTTAAGACAATTGAGTCCAACCATTAACCCAGCACTGCCAAGGCCGTTTGAAGCAGGCTGCGGCGAGGGTGTCCC